TTGCATGACTTGGATTTTTAATTTTACTAACGGGAACGCATGATGTATGCTTCACAAATGATGAGATAATAATGAAGCCGTGGACAGTGGGAGTGGTTGCGTTGGGCGTGGGCACCCGAATAATATATCGGAGAAGTCCGAACGGAGAAAAGATGTATAACCACAGGTGAGCTGTCACCTGCACCAATCGATTTGATAGATTGTCTTCATCGATGAGTTCGCTCAGAGCAAGTGATTTTGTCTCAGAAAAATTATTTAATAATGATGAGTATTCGTTAACGTAGCACAAGTTTATTGTTCACTTATAAGTAGCGAACTCCGAATACATATTGATTCGGTTAATACCAGCAAGTGTCCTGATCACTTACAGCAGAAACATTGTATCAGAAATATTGTTTTGCCTACTTCAAGTAACTTATTTTTGTACTGTTGGTGAAAAATGTCTTGTCACAATCGAATTTTTTTCACGAAAACGATTTACTTGGCCGAGTTTCCTCAGTGAAAAAATTGATTTATTGAGGTATTCAGGTATTTTCAATCGTTTTTTCCAAATTGCTCCTCTCCCTAGCCGTCGAATTCGTGATATGACATCAGTATACCTTTGTCAGATCCATAATTATATAAAACGTTGACATTTATATAGACTTCACGTTTCTGGGGTCATTGATGTTGCCGTGTTAACTATGAAAAACGCACATTTTTTGAAGTTGGATTTAAACACGCTGAGTTTCTTCAAATAAGCAAAATAGGGTATACCAATAAAAAAATCCTTATTTTCTTTGGAAAGCTATACTTTACACACATGGCGAAAACCCAGGTAACATAACCGAGATTATTTTTTTCATAATAATCTCTTTGATATAAAGTATCTTAATGGTATAATAAAAGTTGAAGATTAGTATTTTTGCTATGAATAAATTTTTCTAGAAAAAATGTGGTACTATTATAATACCTATATGTCGTTTGCGTTTAAAAAAATATTCTCAATTTTTATCGATTAGCTTAGTTCAAATATCGATCATCTTTAATGATAATAATGAAAACGAGAGTTCAACGCTTGGTATTTTGAAAACGATTAGCATTCTTCTCTACCAAGAAAACTACCATGCACTGATGATGTTTATGCAAATGCATATACTTACTTATCAATAACAATAACAAATCTGTCTTCATGTAAATATTTACAGATTTTTCATATCAATACATACCTTTACCTATATTTAATTAACATATGGGTAATTATAGCATTTATTATTCCTATACGTCGTAGAAGAATATAAGGATTTAATTGAATTCATGATTCCTGCATTTTCCCGATATCTTATAGACAATACATTCAATCGCCACGCTTTGGCAATAAACATTGAACATTATAATATAATTCAATAATTACAATAACTTACATAAGTGTGTCCAAAACGTCTTTACAATTTCAAATGAAAAATATATATCGGGTGTCCGGAAAAATCTGGGAAATCTCGTGCATTCAGATAGAACCTGAAAAAATAGTTCACTAGATGTAACGTGCTCAACGTTTTACTCTTATTTGAAATCGAAAAATAAAAATGTTTTATTATTATTTAGTTATTTTATTATTATTTATGTTTAGGCTACCCAATTTTTTAGGCTTCTATCATATACAGGTTGTTGAAAATTTCGGCATTTATGTTGATATTCAGTCCACTCGTGATAAATACGGGGTGCCACTTTTCTAATTGGATTGTATTGGTAACTTCCAAAACATACTAGTTAGAAGGTTGGTTAAATGGAGACAAACTTGCGTATCAGGTAGCATCATAGCGGTTAAAAGTAATCGAAAATATCAGGGCATCTTTTTCTCAATTTAACCGACCTTATTTACATAGTATGGTTTGGATGTTACTAATACAATCCCATTAAAAAAGTTTCCACCCCGTATATTTCAAGGACACGTTTTCAAGGGTTCTTAACTAGTGTTTCTCACATTGAATTATTATTGAATTATATCGATTACTTTTCAGTGACATAAGTTCGATATCAAAACTGAACAGGAAACATCAGTGTTATTATCTCGAGATAATAACATAATTTCCTGCTGACTTAATACTGATAGAACATGATATTCACTCATAAAATAAGAAGATGAAAATGGTGAATTCAAGATCAATTAGAAGTTAAAAATAGTATCACAGAAAAGTGTAAAAATGAAAAAAGGGATATATCATGCTCAAGATTTTCCTATGCACCCTGTATATGACTGAAGAAAATTTCGACACAATTTTTGATACAATATGAATCATTCAGAATTCCAGGAAATTATATATGCACAATATCTTATAAAGATGAACTTTTATTATATTAACATTAATAATCACTTTCTTATCAGGCAACATCAGGTACAGAGTGTAGTTAATAGTTGACTAGGTACTATAAGAGAGCAAATTTATTCTAAAAATTCAATATCAACCCAATGATCAAATAGATTATTTGCGGAAGCATAGAAGTGCTATGGTTACTTGTTTAATTTCTCAGTTGATATAAATTCAGACTTTAATGTCAAAATTTCGAGAAATTTCGAATATGTTCATTGATATAACTTCGAGAATTGTCAGCATAAATGAAAATATGTTATACAAATTCTTTTCTCTTTGTCGTGGAGACATTAGTTAAACTTTCAAACGAGGTGAGAATGTTAATATTGATGGTACCAATTAATGTTCAGTATTGATTGAAGTATGATTTTTAAACTAAGTGTTATTCATTCCTAAGAGGTACCTTGAAAAACATCACAAAAATTACTATTACCCCCTCTTCTTCTAGAGATTCACTTTTTTAGGACCACCTTTGCATTAATTTCTCCTGAATGTTTAATTGGGACGCCATTGGTGAATTGAGATCGCGCACTCTTCTTGTGAATTCACACTGTCTTTTGCAATTAACACTGCATAATATCATAACCAATTTCTCCACAACAAATTGAACTAATAATAGGAATGAATATTTCCATTTCAAATGAGATTCCAAAATCAGAACATTTCACAGAGGATATAGATGATGTCATTTTTTTATTTTTCTCTAGTTACAGTGAAAATTTCATTAACAACCTGTAGTAAAGATGAACAATTCCTCATGTTGAAGATTAATATCTCTGTACAGTGTGTTCTCGATGCTTCTGCGCGATATCTCAGTTGTTTTTGAGATACAAGACGAAGTTGAAGTTTCTCACTTTTTGAGCACCTTTATGGTTACTTTTCAACTTATCGGCAGAATGGGAACAGTATATGCCTCATATAACATTCTACGTAGAATACAATGTCGTACTCATTTTATTTCCCTGATCACTCATCATTTTTAGAAAATGAAGCCAAATGTTTTTTTCCCAATGGGATTTATTTCTATCAAGTTCGATTCAGATTTCTTATAGCTTATCAAAAATATATAGTAGTCGAAAATGTTTTAATTTGAAAAAAATATAGTTTGGATGCATTTTATGAAAATGAGCGATTATACAGAAATTAAATGAGTACGCCACATACGTACAAAGTTATATAAGGCCTCATTCTCATCCTGCTGATAAGTTGAAAAGTAACCAAGATGCGAGTTGCTCAAAGGGTCAGAATTTTCAACTTCGCCCTATATCTCAAAAACAAGAAGGACTGTGAATATTCTGCGTTTGTGGCATTATTCGTTTCGACAGTAATGTGAAAACCGCAACATTTTATTTGTATTGTATTGTACACGTAGAAAAGGATAACAAAAAGCTAGATATTTATTTTTCAACATCTTCACCCGGTTTCATCATCTGAAACGATATTATATTACCGCTTCTGGTTATGTTTCCCTTTTTTCTCAAGAACAGGGTACAAAAATGATTTAGAAAATGCCAAACAAAAGTCGAAATTAAATTTTCTAATGACTATTCCACTTTTTTCTCGAGAACCAATCAGAATCGACAATATTCACGGATTCTCCTGTATTCCAGCGATCTTTTTTGTTTACTTGAATGTATCAGACTTGATCTACCAATACAGAAGCCGAATTGACCCACACGTGACCAACCAACCAACCAACCTTGTTTTTATGGTTATGTGTGAAGCCAGAAAGATGGATGCAGTGTGCACAATTCATACGAATACAACTCGATCGTGATCTATTTTTCCTGGAAATATTCTTCGCTGCTTTTAATTTCGCTTATGACATTTTGTTACAAAACTTCTCGCCTACGGCTAGAAAGTTTTGATAAACAATGTCATTCGCGAAATTATTAGGCTACATATGCTGTCGTATAACAATCGCCGAATATTTCCGACAAAATAGTATTACTTGTGGTATAACAAATGACTATTTCTTTGGTAAACCTATACTTTCATATTTTCAAAAATCGGAATTATCGCGATTGTTCAGGAAAATCTGGGACACCTTGTATATCTTAACTACCTACCTTCATCCACCATGGAGCATATGTCATGAATCAACCCTTGTACGCATCAGCAGAATTATGACACATGCTGTATACTTTCTTATCGTGATCCAATCCTAGATCAAACAAATGATATTCCATAGTGAGAAAAGATACAGCTATTACCTGCATCATTATCAGTAATATGTACAAAGGTATGTGCATACCTTCCACCTTTTCCTAAACACAATAATTAAAGATTGCTCCAAATTCTTTTACAATCACTTCTGAGAAAAACTGGGGAAAAACGCTAGGTATCTAGTTAAAATAAACATAAATTATTCGCGAACCGTAAAATCCCGACCTATAAGACGCGAAAACCAAAGTGGTTTCAGTTCCACCACAACATTAGTTGTTTCAGTCCCTTCAACACTATCATTTATAAATTGTACGGGTGCTAAATTATTTGCAGATATCGGCAAGAAGTCATCGTTTATAATGAACATTTCATAAAAAACTGTTCAGAAGCGTCCGTTTTTATTTGGTGTTCGGTAGTGGTATATCGATTTCGGAGTTCGAGCAAGTTGGCTGGTTTTCAAGTTGAGTTGCAGTTTTTTTCGGCATGCAGTCCACAGAAGAAACCTCTCGAAAACCTGAGAATATGTGGAAAGATGTTTACAAGAAACTGCAGAAACAGAAATCTTCGGATTTTCAAAATTACAGGTAGGTAATATACAGTGTGATCAAGATAAGGGTGCATATCATGAGGATGTCGGAAACGGGAGAAGATACGAATTCGGTTAGCAGGAAAGAAGTTTCGCATTCAGAAATCCATACTCCATAACAACGGACTTGGAAAATTTCCAAATTGTTTGTAGTTTTTTAGTTTATTCATTTATTTACGAAAAGGAATACAAACGGGACTAACCCAAAAGCAGTATTCACAGATATGTCATATCTCATCATACAGATATATTAATACTAAACAAATCGAATATCAATTACAAAGTTGATGAAAATCAATAATTGGAGTAATTAATGATTGAGTAGGTACAACATGTAGTGATTGTAGTGTGTTGATACAAGCAAAGGTGAAATCCAAGAAAGTGAATTTTTGGAAAATCAATTCTATTATATTTTTCTACGTTATTATCAGAGATAAAGAAAAACTGAAAATACTTTTCCATAGCAACTGTTGATGATATTTAACGTGGTTATATTGATTTCTCTACGCGACGTTTCGTATTCGTAGAACCATCATCAACTTTTTTTTAAATATACGGTCCTGATTATGTGTTCACAGATTCTGAAACTTTTTTCATTATGAATTCAACCATGTATTATACGAGGGGGTTCGAATGTCTTTCGTCCTAGTTTTTGCCATCATCAATGTTTTTTCGAAATTCCAAAGAGATAATATCATCAGTTCCACTTATTACTGATAATTCGGTGTTGAACATTGATGTAGTTATGTAGAAAAAATCATTAAATTATCACAGCAGCGCTTCAAATTCTTTCGTGTTAATGGATTCTTTCACGAATTACCTCTATAACTGAACTTTGACAACACGAATAGTAATTGAATAAACAAAGATATCCTCTCTTCTTACAGTTGCTTCTTGCTTCTAAGACATTTTTAAGCATTTCTGGAATGATACTATTTATCACGTTATCAAAATTATTAACGTATACCCAAAGAAAAAATCTGTATAATAAGTTCAGTTATCAAGGTACCGATTCGTGGTCAGAATCCATTAAAGATGAAACAATTTGAAGCGCTGCATTGAATAATTTTTAATATATTTTTTTTTATTTTCAGTTTTAAATAACTACTCCATTAATGTTTGACACTGAATGCATGATCAGATATAAGTGCTGATGCTATTTCCTCTTTGAAATTTCGACAATACATTGATGATGGCTAAAACTAGGTCGAAACACTTTCAAACCACTTTGAGTAATACCTACATGGTTCAAAAGCTATCAGAAGCTGTGAACACATAATCAGGACCGCAATAAAAAAGATGATGATGGTTCTACGAATACGAAACGTGGCGTAAAGAATTAGATATTATGACTTTGAATCTCATCAGATGTTGCTACGGAGAAGTATTTCCAGTGTTTCTGTATCTCTTATAACGTAGACATTTTTTTCTCCGTAAATCCACTTTTTTCGGTATAACTGAAAAACTATAAACAATTTTGGAAATTTTTGAAGGCCGTTGGCATGACCCTCTGAATTTGCAACTTTTCCTATTTAACGGAATTCGTATCGCCTTCCTCCTTATTTTGGTCACACTGTATATATAGGTATAATACAAAACGCTTTTTTGAATTATATCAAATTTCATTACCCTGCTCCTCAAAAACGAAGAACATGCAGATATAATATAGTTATAGATGATTTTTTTATTCAATATATTGGTAACAAAATAATACACAATTGAATATTTTACAGTAACTTATCTCTGATGGTGTACCTGGTATCTGCATGTCAATGACAAATACAAAAAAATCTTCGTTCACATCAGATGTGCTACATTTTGTATTGTACGGTTATCCTACTTCAAGTACTTGAAGAGGATACGATATCTATCGAAACGCCGGCAGTTTCATTATAAAATAATGGCAGAAGAAGATAGAGAAAATGATCAGCTCCTTACCGGATCAAGGGAATGTCTCATTTATATCAAAAGGGAACCCTCTGTATGTTTATTGATTTTTTTAATCCTCTACAAAGTGAATTTTTCAACGATATGCATAATAACACTTTGCATGTTACATTCAATATGATAAATAAGTGCGAGTATTGCCATATATTGTTATACCTGAAGATGCTACGAAATTTATCGAAACGTCGGCAGTTTCATTATAAAATAATGGCAGAAGAAGAGAGGGAAAACGATATGCTCTATATCGGATCAATTGAATATCTCATTTTTCTCACAAGAATGGTACTCTCTCTGTATAGTCGTTATTCAATTTTTGAATCCTATCTAAAATTGAATTTTCAACGAAATATGCAGGGTGTCCGATTCAAGGCAACTTACGTCAGTCTGAAATTGTTCCGTTTTCGAGATACAGGGTGAAGAGAAGAATAAAAAATGGAATTCCTCAGGATTTGTGAACACTTTCAAACGTAATACTCCTAAAATTGATATCCCAGGTTTTTTTGGGATGCGAAACACGAATACAGACACTGGGCCATTAAAGGGCGCTTATCAATGGAATTCTTATGGTTTATAATGGTCATAACTTTTTTCTCAGTGTGGTTTCTTATTTTATTTGTTGTTTGGTTTGTTTATTTCTGAGCATTTTCAAGCAAAAAACATACTTATGTGTGTGAAAATCCCGAGGATAATCCGCTAAAGTAAGCCGATTTCGAGATATTTCGATTTTTAGTGTTCGATGCAGCACCGGAATATTTAAATTATTTTGAATAAAACGTTTTTGCTGTTATATTCGTGGTTATAATTTGGTCAGTGAATTAGCAGAGCAAAAATGGATTTTTCAAAATACTTTCTTGGAGTGTACTTGTCGATTTTTGTTTTTTTTTTTTATCTTCACCACCCTGTATCTCGGAAACGGAGCGTTTTCGGACCGAGATAAATTGCTTCAAATCGGCTTGTTTTGACCTCAGGAATATGTGCTAAGATTTTGTAAAGACCTTTTAGGGACATCCTGTATAACATTTCAATGTGATAAATAAGTGCGAAAAAAAAACGAGTGCGTGGTTCCTCATTATTGTCATAATATATTGTTATACCTGAAGATGATACGACATTTATCGAAACGTCGGCGGTTTCATTATAAAATAGTAGCAGAAAAAGCAAGGGAAAACACATTTTGTATACATAGGTAGGTAATACTTGTTCGAGTGGATCAATGGAATGTATCTGATATTGTTTTACCCAATGGGCTTTCTGTTTTTGGCCACATGACATCAGGATTAATTTAAGAACGACAGGTACTTCGATATCCTCTGTCCCATGAGCAATTGCCAAATTATTCAAGTTTGAGGTTATCTGTATATTTGGGCTGTTCAAGGCATAATGACAATAAATCGCAGAAAAGTTGTTTTAGTTTTCTTTCTAGATGAACACTCTCAACCACATACTATTTTAACTATAGTATCGATTGAACCGTCCAGAAGCATTGCAAAGTTATTGAAACCTCTGGTGCGTCTAACCCCGCCGAAAGCAAATGCTCGGGTTCGACTGTTAATCTCTTATCAATGATTTACAAAAGGTCCAGGCAAACCTTCAGATTTGATATATTCCAAAATATTTTTTTCACAAAAATATACTTCAGTTTCACCCTGAACACTGAAGACAATTCAATATTCACACTTAGATATTAGAATTTGGACAAAAAATCCTTTATTTTTTATTTGAACTGCCATAATAACACGCGGAGAAACTAATAATCCCTATTTTTCATTATCTATTAAAACCTTGTATTTCATGTTTTCCGTGTTTTCCATTTTAATTGCGATGAAATGAATAACAATATAATGATTCATTTCGTCGATTTTCCAGCATTTTTATTTTAATTAGCCATGGCATCATCTTTTGGTTAATAATTTCGGTCTTATTCATTCTTCAAACTAGAACGCAGTTTTTTATTAGGTACTTACTTCAGATTATCATTCGTTCGAACCAAGTTCGAATGCTACAATGACTGATCTCAATTTGTACTTATAAACAGACAAAATCGTTATTCAAATAACTAGGCCTAGGCAGCAAAATAACTTTTTGGTGCGCCGAAAAAAAGTTAGCGCCGAGGCCGTTTAAGGCCTTGGGAAGATAATCTTGAGGTCGCCAAAAAGTTTCGCGGCCATGGTATACACACAATTATTGAACTCGATGATTGAAATGATATTTTGGATTACTATATCATATTTAGACAGTTCTTGACAAAACGAAAATATGATCTGACACTGAAGAGCCTTGCTATTTTCGTGGTTCAGAAATAGAAGTACTCTCTTCGCGTACGACTGCACAAAATAGTAATTTTCCTAACAAGTGCGGAAAGTAATACTTTCCCACACGCGAGCAAGCAGTTGCGGGAAAGACACTTTCCGCATCAGTTAGGAACAATTTTTCTTCTACAAGCGTAGGAAATTGATTGATTTGTTCAATCAATTATTCCTGCAATTAGGAACAACTACCAATAATGATATATTCTCTATCTTCTAATAATTAGTGATATATTTATTGTGTGTACCGTTTGAAGCATTATGTAGGAAAGCTTATTGCGGAAGCCAGCATGCCTATGGTGTTTGGCCTCTAGGTTTCAGACATTTTTAGGAAATGAGCCAAAAATACTTCTTCTTTATTTGGTATTTTCACTTTTTTACTATTGTTCCATTCAATAAATTCCGTGTAGTGCTTCCCATACCTTTCTTAAGACTTCGTTGGCAATAACTGTCATCTGTATCGCATCTGTAGCTGGAAGTTTTTCATCGCAATTCTACTGAATCGAGAATGACAGTAACGCTCTGTCCGTCACTCTGAGAATTACACTAACTAATTTGTGTTTTGATTGACATGACAACAATTGTTTTCCACATCAGATCACTTCCCAGGCAACCAGATGACGTTCCAGTGACGTCTTTTTTACGTCACTTGTATATGACGACGTGATAATGACGTGAATAAGTCACAGCCCAATGACGTCATATTACTCACGTCGTATTGACGTCATTCACTCACCAAACTGTG